CTGGCAGAGGTTATGACACCTGAACTGGCAACTGGCAGAGGTTATGGCACCCGAATTGGCGTCTGGCAGAGATGATGACACCTGATCTGGTGGAGGTGATGATGCCTAATCTGGTAGAGGTATGGGAGTGAGTGTACCAGGGTGATTATAAAAGGCCCCCTTCCCCTAAAGGAGGTATGTGATTCTTGTGCTTTCTGGCATTGAAGTCCCTCATTCCCCTTGCCTTCTCAAGAGCACTAACTTGAGTTTCAGAGTGTTCCAACCGGGTTCTTCCCCGGAAGTCTCCATTTCCTTCCTTGTTTCAGGCACCTCCAATTTCGTCAGAGGCAAGATAACCGACAGATAGGACCGACCGAATTGCACATCAGGTACTAATGAAATTAACTTCCTAAGAAGAGAAAACCTCAGAGCATATGGCTTGAAGCCTAGACCATGGTTTTTCTGCCATTTGATCCCCATTGTCCATTCATTATTTGATTTTGAGTAAATTGTTGAAACCTTCTTTGTACTTTCTGACAGTTGAGGTTCATTGCCCTGCTTTATGCTAATAGCACTGTCCTCCCAAACTTTCTGACATCATTGCATTTACACCCCTTCCTATTTCTTGATGTTAGAATGTTAACTGAAATTGGTGATGTCATCATCTCAAAACATTTTTAAATGTCAAGATTGTTCTTGGATAACATTAGATTTTACACTAACCATGATACCCCTGAAAAGAATTATTTATATCCTGCTTGAATCAAACAAACCCCCTCTTCATTTCACACCGTCATTTGTATCTCTGCTTGAACGCTCAACTGAACACACCCCCTCAAACATAGGCTGTGGAGACTTCTTCAAATAGAGGAGTTAGAGACGTATAGCGGCATTATGTTGAAGCAATTGTCTTCTTCTTCCTATCTTAGGTATAGAAACAAAGAATACGTTTCAGGTTACATAGGATCTATGATCAATGGGTTTTAGGTACATACAGGCTACAGGTTTCAGATCTATGCTTTTAGCAGTATATGGATAACAGAAAGCCCAACTGCAAGTTGCAGATTTATGCTTTTAGCTGCAGGTTACATATAGTCAATGGGTTTTAGTTGGAGGTTAAAAGTTTCAGGAAGTTGCAAGACACTGGTGGTTTTCCCTCTAGAACAGAAGGTTGAACTTCAAACGTATTCCCAACGGTGCCCATCGTAGGGAGGGCGATTTGGGAAGTCAAGTTACCATTCATTCAAATGGTCAATAATGGGTAGTTCGGTAATTTCACTGCTTCCGTCAGTTCGAGATAATGAAGGGGTGTAGATGCAACGATGTCAGAAAGTTCAGGGGATAGTGCTATTAGCAAAAGTGCAAGGGTACTAAACCGCAGTTATCTTATTACCAAAAGAAAAGGGTAAATTATAAAGACCCCCTATATTATGGGGCCTGTGACAAAGACCCCCTATATTCCTATATTTTATTTTGCAACGAAGACCCTCTTTGTACTATAACCGTGAAACAAAGACCCTCTTCCGTTAACTGAAATCCGCCGTTATAATAATTTTTAATCCCCGTACTACCCTTATAATAACTATTCGGAGAAAAACTGTTCATCTTCACCGACCTCACGATACACGAACAGCATTCCTTTGTAATTTACCCAAAAAAAGAAACAAAAGGGAGAGAAGAGGACAGGATAGATAGAGGAAAGAGAAAAATGAACAAAGAAATTCCAACACAGGAGAGAAGGGTCGCATCAGTTGAAGAGGGTTTTTCAGGGGTTTTGTATTTGCTTTTTGACACACTCTGTGTCTCTTGCACACATTGTCTCTGGACTCTGATTCTCTCTCGCGCGCTGAGCTTAAGCTTTCTTCAATTCGTTGTAAGTTTGTAACCGAAGCTCACGGAGAAACGCAGACCCAAGTTTTATCGGCTGCTCTTCTGTGATGATATCTCAGCTTACCAGAGGTTGGTTGCAACATGAACAGAGCTACAACTTGTTGGGTGCGCATTGTACACCTTCTGTTATGAATCTCGAACTCCCCCAACCCAACCGTCTCTCCACCTGCGATCGTCATCCTGACCACCGGCTTCTGCCCCTCATGTTTATGCAAACGCCTTGCTTGTTTGGATCCAGCGACCCGCCGGAAGAGAAACCCTTCCTCCACCACATCCACCGCTGCCTCCACCTTCAAACCCGTCACCGACTTCCACCGCTGCAACTGATTGCAGCGGCGGCGAATCCACCACTGGCCTCTCTCCCCCTCTCTCTCTCTCTCTCTCTCCATCTTTTATTATTCGTTTTCTTTTTCTATTTCTGCTCCTTCGTTGTCGCGCCCTCTATCACCGCCGAACCAGTTGCTGGCCCCCCAGCCCAATCGTCTCTCCACCTGCGATCGTCATCCCGACCAACCTGTCACCGGCTTCTGCTCCTCATGTTTATGCGAACACCTTGCTTGTTTGGATCCAGCGACCCGCCGGAAGAGCAACCCCTCCTCGTCCACTTCCACCGCCGCTTCCGCCTTCAAACTTGTCATCGACTTCCACCGCTGCAACTGATTGCAGCGGCGGATTCGAACTTAGCGGCGGCGAATCCAGCCTCTCTCCCTCTCTCTCCATCTGTTATTATTCGTTTTCTTTTTCTATTTCTGCTCCTTCCCACAGTTGTCGCGCCCTCTGTCACCGCCGAACCAGTTGCTGCCCCCCTCTGCGCCGAATCAGTCGCTACCCCCAGCCCAGTTCGTCTCCATCATCTTCGCCCATTCTTCCATCTAAGAAGCCTCCGGGGAGGGATTTGAAGGAGATTGCAGGCAGTTTCTGGTTGGCCGCCTGGTTTTTAGCAAGAAATTGCAGAAGTGGAGGAGAAAGAAGAAGATGAAGAAACGCGGCGCTGGCGACGGTGCCTCAACCACAATGCGGGCCGAAAAGCCGTCGCGTAGGCAGTTCAGGGAGACGTAGTTGGAAATCGCAGATTACGAATGTGGACGGAGATCCTGCGATACTGATCCGAGGTTCTCCCTTGATGTCGGTCGGATGTCTTTTGATGATCCCCGATACATACTCATGGGACGAGCCCAGGGCTTCTTGGGATGGTTATCTCATTGGAAGTACAGGGGGGTCTTTATCACAGACCCCCTAGTACGGGGGGGTCTTTGTATTTACCCAAAAAAACCCGCAATTGCGAGAAAATATAGAATGGCTTTTTTGGAAGTTCATAAAAATGCCTAAAATTCCTTACGAGACGTTAAGAGTTTCCAACGGCTAGTTTTTGAAGTTCCCTTCTCTGAAACTATGGTTCTAAAACCACTCCACAATCCTCAATATTTCATCAAACCAAAACCGATAAGAACGGAAGAACCAATTCCTCTTCTTTGTCAGCATACTGATACTAGGATTAGAGTTCCTGATCTGGGTTTTCTAGAATGGGGAAGGAGAAGCTAATGGAGCAGATATTCCAGTTGAAGCTCACATCGAAATCGTTGGTTAGGCAAGCGAAGAAGTGTGAGCAGGAAGAGAAAACAGAGAAGGCCAAAGTAAAGAAAGCGATTGAGAAGGGCAACATGGATGGCGCAAGGATCTATGCTCAAAACGCGATCAGAAAGCGCAATGAACAGCTCAACTATCTGCGCCTCGCATCCCGCCTCGACGCTGTAGTAGCACGACTCGGGAGCCAGAGCAACTTGCAGACAGTTGGGAAGTCGATGAGCGGAATAGTGAAGTCACTTGAAGGGGCGCTTTCTGTTGGGAACATGGAGAAGATGTCTCAGACCATGGATCGATTTGAAAAGGGTTTTGTAAACATGGAGGTGCAGGCTAGCTTCATGGAGAAGTCAATGGCGGGCACCACAACTCTGTCTACTCCTGAAGAGGAGGTGGGGTCCTTGATGCAGCAAGTAGCTGATGATTACGGGTTGGAGGTATCTCTGAAACTCCCACAGGCCGGGAATAAAGCAGTTGTGCTGAAGGAGAAAGGAGCAGTAGTTTCCGAGGAGGAGCTGAATAGGAGACTGGCAGACTTGAAAGCCAAAGGCTAATCTCTCTTTTTCTCTATCATCAAATGATCAAATATGAGTATGACCATGTTTGAGTTGTTTCTAAGTTTGTTAGTATCTTTAGAATGGATTAGCAAATTAGCAATCAAAAATTCTTTTTTATAAAGCAATTTTATTCTGTTATGGCCCCGTTTGATCAACATTGAACTAGGTGGTGAACTAGCTAAGAAAACAGGAAAATCTCAACAACTGCAAAATTGGAGAAGGTTGTGATCATTGGATTGACTCAGTTGAGGGTGGTGGATTTCAGTATTGTCTTCCATACCAGTGCAAATGAAGCTGCATTAAAATTGCAATTGCAAACAAGTCCCAAATAAAGAACAGGCAAAAAGTTGGACCTTCCTCTTTCATCACAACGTTTAAAAAACAGAGTTGACGTTTTCACAAACCGATGATGTTTAAAAACAGTAGTTGGGGGAGAAATAGACTCTTTGGTTTTGGGTTAAACTGTTCACATGGCCACGTCCCTTGGGCTTGGGCTTTGGAGGGAGACGTCGATTTTTGTGGGCCCCTTCCAGTTTTAGGAATGGTTCGTCTCCATGATGGTTATGTGTGGTTCTTAGTTGTGGACTTGTGACCTACAAAGTGCTAATGGGCCCGGATGCATGTTGGGTTGGGGAGTTTAGAAAGTTCTTCTCCTGCTTTTTTTTTTTAATTTGAAACAAAATTTGCAAGCAAACGACAAGGAGAGACGTTAAAAATGAGAACAGTCTCTCCCCACCGACACATGGATGGAATAAGAAACGGAGGCCCACGGAGGAGCCCAATTACTGTCGGCACGCCAACGCCACATTATTTCATTGGATGCAGAATCTTAACAATCAATGAATCATTTGACATTAGTATCACTAAATTGCCCTTGTTCATTTCCTGAAACTCGAAATATACCCCTAAAAACAGTCAACACCCAAAACTTTCTTTGATTGAAGGACCCACCGGCCCAGCGCCTGCAAACAGCAAACTTGTGGAATGGGTAAACTTAAACTTAAATGGGCTTTTTTACTTTTTGTGCTTTTCCAAATTTAAGAATTAAGAAGCTTGTTTTGGGGACACAGACAATTGAATAGTCCGATAGTAAATAGCAAGCTGCCGACAGTAGTCGACAGACCTGTTTAGCGGGTTAGCGGTTCTTGATCCGGTAACCTGCTCTGCTGACCCACCTATATTCCCGTTTCAGCGAATCCGGGTGTGGTGTTACACAATCAACATATGACACCTGTCCTGCAAATGTGTTTGACTTATCACACAGATGGATTAAAATGAGACAGGTGCCAAATAGTGATTGTATGCTTATTCAGCATGCTAACCGAATGTGCCTACCAGATCCGGACTCGGTTTGTGGGTTTAATAAACTATTAAACCCGACGTGATATGGATCTCGGTTGGTTCATGTTCAACTGCGTGTTTCCAACCTTCCATATTTCAATGATCATCTCGGTGCTGTTTTACGGAGGGAACTCGGATGCCAGCCATACGCGCTGGGTTAAAACTGCATGCCGTATGTTTTGGTACGGCCCAGCCACGTATGACTTGAACTTGGATATTGTACACGAGGTGGCATGGGCTGTGTGCGTCGTGGCCACGCGTGCGTAGCGGTAGCAATCAACTTAACGCTGGCGCCTGGCTGTGCTGTGACCTGTACCGTGAAGCTGGAAAGGGGCCCACGACTCCAACAACTCTTTGATAAGAATCTAGAAGAGGACAAGATGCAAGTAATCAATGAACGGGGAAGATCACATCAGTTCCTCCAAAAGGGAGGGCATGTGTGTAATTTCGTAATAGGAAATAGTGGCACGCATGTAAATATATTCAATGGTATGGGCAGAATGCCGATTAACAAAAATTTGTTAGGAACTTAAGTGGAATTAAATGGAAAAGCTTGCAGTAATTACAGTGACTCAAAGTCCACTTAGATCTTAAGCTCTTCGCTTCACCCTGTCATGTGAAGAAAAGGCCAGCGACAACGTGCTTCTTCTCTGTTCTCTCATCTCTCTCTCTTAGTCTGAGCTCCTCCCACTTCTCTGTTACTGTTGCAGATCTTGAGCTTACACAGAAGAGAAACAAGAGAAATCTGCAACAGAAATGGAGCTTATCTGCTCATCCATGAGCAGATCTATCTCCAAGCTTACCAGCTGCACTATTTTGTTCATGTTTTTGCTTTCCTGCTTCAGTTTCACATCAACAGGTTCACATTCAAAATCACTTCCATTTCTCTTCCCTTGCTTAATGTCAAATTTATCCTTTCTGGATTTCTTTTTCGCTTATGTTCATGGGTTTCGATTGGTTATGTTATTTTTTTTTCGTGGATTTAGCATTTTGGTTGTGGTTAACTGATGAGTGCACATTGTGTGAAATCTGAGACATTTGACCCTTGGGTTTCTGAAAATAGAAAAATTGACGAGATGGTCTCTTTTCTGTTTTTCTAAAAGTATGCTTTTTTTATCTTCTTGTGGACATTATTTAGTTTTTGTTGAAATCTACAGATTTATTCTTCGTTTTTTAGATTTAGAGTTCTTTCCCAAGATGGATTGTGAGAGTACGAAAGATTATGAGAAATATAGTTGCATCTCTGTTTCAGTTGATTAAAATTTGGTTCATTTTATAATTGAAGATCATAAATACAAGAGGAGTTCGGTTTGGGTGGTCGGTGTAGCATTTGATTTTTCTTAATAGAAGGAAATATAACAACTTCTATATTTTTGCATTTCCCTTTCGCTGAAAACCAAAGCTTAGCTCTTTCTTCATGGATTTAGCGAGTACGGATCTAATAGAGAATGGGAAAAGAAAGAGAGGAAATATTCACTAGTATTCTAATATTACCCTCTATTGCTCTTGTCTCTGATTTTGGATCGTGATCACTTTTTACCATTATGCTAATAAACCAGTTTTCTTAATCTACTTGTGTTGCCAGTCTGACCTGGGAATTTTTATGTTCAAAGGTTTACATTTAGCAAATCTCTCCTGAGAACGATGTTTCTTGACTAGGGTCAGCGCAGGTTTTGCCCAATTATGGATCACCAGACTGGAACTAATCCACTTAAAAACCCAAACTTAACTTGTGGCATATCATCAAAAAAGCTCCTTCACACAAATCCATATTTTCATTTTAGGCGCTTCTGTAATGTTCTTAATTTTATTTTTACATTGCAAGTGTTTTGTCATGAAGGAAAAGAAAAACAAAAATATTCACACCTTATTATGTTGTGTAAAGGATATACAAATTTTAAATGATTGGTATGATGCCCTGATATTGGTGTATTATTGGACTTCTTTTTTTTTAATAGAAGTAAATATTGGAAGTCTATTATCTACAAAAGAAAAAAAAAAGAGCTCTCAAAAATTAAAAATATATGAGATATTGGTGTTTTGGCTTTCTTGGCAATTAAGGGTCTAAGTTAAAACTTTGGATTGTGTTTCAGAAGCCTATGATGCACTTGATCCAAATGGGAATATCACAATCAAATGGGACGTTATAAGCTGGACTCCAGATGGCTATGTTGTAAGTATGCAGCACATGGATTTTCATAAAGTAGATATGGCCCTTATTGGGGTGTGTGTGTTTGTGCAGTTGGAGTGTCAGCATGAGTAACCGAGATATGATAAAACATTTCAAAAAAAAAAAAAAAGCTCATGTCATATTTTACAATACTTGCATACTACAGAAAATTATATTACTGTTCATTGGTTGCTTTCCGGTTCAACATTGATATGGCTTGTTAAGTGATTTTGGCATTAGCATAATCTGAACTACCCGTTTAGCATGAATTATAATATAGATCTAGTTGATATGGCTTGTTACATTTCTGTTCCATATTTACAGAATCTGTATTATTTTATTAATAAGGTTACTTTCGCTCATGTTATTATCAGCACAAACACTCTTTTTCAGTTGCTTTCACTTTCCAGGCAGAGTTAGTGCTTCACTGTTTCTGTCAAAACTTGTTTCATGTTTTGGAAGTTTATCTGCTTACTTCCCCTGTATCATCCTAGTTGTCATCCATCTTCTGTCTGGAACTGGGCAGGCTGTTGTCACAATCTACAACTTCCAGCAATACCGTCACATTCAGGCACCAGGATGGACACTGGGATGGACGTGGGCAAAGAAGGAGGTGATTTGGAGCATGATGGGAAGCCAAACCACAGAGCAGGGGGATTGTTCAAGATTCAAAGGGAATATCCCACATTGCTGCAAGAAAGATCCAACTGTTGTAGATTTATTGCCAGGAACTCCCTACAACCAGCAGATTGCAAATTGTTGCAAAGGAGGAGTGATCAATTCGTGGGTTCAGGATCCAACCAATGCAGCAAGCTCGTTCCAGGTTAGTGTTGGTGCAGCAGGGACCACCAACAAAACTGTTAAACTTCCAAAGAACTTCACACTGAAAGCACCTGGACCTGGATATACATGTGGACCAGCAAAGATTGTTAAACCAACTAAATTTACCACAGCAGATCAAAGGAGGACGACTCAAGCAATGAGTAAGTTAATTTTAAATGATGAACTTGTTTCTTTCTTTGGTAGCCTGATCATAATATGGTCTTTTGACTCTTCCATGTCTTGTATGGAAAGAAAAGTAGCACCATATGTTTGTGCTTTTAGGTTTTAGCCAAAAATACAACTATCATACAAGAAATCTAAATGTTAAATATAATAACTCTAGTGAGAAACATACAAACCTTGAAGAATACCACTTTATTAGTCACAAATTGGTCAAAATACTGTTCATTGTTTTCCCTGTAACTGGACTAATGCTATGGCCCAATTAAAGTTCTCTTGTTTGTTGTTACTATTTACCAAAAGAGAAGAGAAGAGAAGAGAGATGAAAATTAGCTTACACTTTACATGGCTATCTTATTGCAGTGACATGGAATGTTACCTGTACATATTCTCAATTCCTGTCTCAGAAGACACCGACCTGCTGTGTTTCACTCTCCTCATTCTATAATGATACAATAGTTCCCTGTCCAACATGCACTTGTGGCTGCCAAAACAACATAACTCAGCCAGGGAGTTGTGTGGAGTAAGTCTCGTTATATATCTTTTTTCCTGCAACACTTAATACCTGTATTGTTCTCTCTCTCTCTCTCTCTCTCTCTCTCTCTCTTTCTTTCAGAAACCTTCATTATTCCTTCTCCACATGATTTCTTTCTGGTGTGGACATGGTGTATTGTGTTTGTATTTCTTACACTTATCTTCGTTTGGCATGCAGGGGAAACTCCCCATATTTAGCTTCAGCTCTTTCAGCTGGTAAAAATAGCTACGTGCCTTTAGTTCAGTGTACCAACCATATGTGCCCTATCCGGGTCCACTGGCATGTTAAGCTCAACTATAAAGAGTATTGGAGGGTAAAGGTCACAATAACTAATTTCAATTACAGGATGAACTACACACAGTGGAACCTGGTCGTTCAACACCCAAACTTCGATAATCTCACGCAGATTTTCAGCTTCAATTACAAGTCATTAACTCCTTATGCTGGCCTAAGTAAGTTGTCTCTTTGGTTATTAAATAATGCTCCTGTCTTACTGTACTGGGCTTGTAGAAACGGGTGGATAATGATTCCATATCATGACACTGGGTATTTAACATATGTAAATGCATTCCCAAAAAAAAAAAAACAAATGCAAGGATTAAGGTGGTCTGGACAATTGAAACAATTGTTCAAAAAGAATTTTTTTCACCACAAAAGTCCAAACAAATTGAACTAAATTGATAAGTGAATTTCTTTTTTTTTGGGGCTCCTATCAGGTTGGTGACAGAACATGTCACAAGCAACTAGCCCTTGATAAAAAATACAGACAAGTATCTGTTTAATACATGGGTAGGAGGTGCTTGATTTAGTCATGATTTAAAAGCAATCTGCCTGAAACAGGCCATATTTCTAGCGTTTCTCTTGCTGCTGTCATTAATTGGTGGATGATCCAATTAAATATATAGAAAATGGTTATCGTTGTAATAAGTTAGTATTTCCCTTGTTTTTAGTTTTCTCACTGCAATAAGTAAGCATTTTTTTTTTGAAGAAACAATAAGTAAGCATTGCAGTGTGTAGATCACAATCATTTCCATATGGAAGGTTTACATGGTTTTCTTTTTTTTTTTTCTCTCCTTTCTCAACATGCTAAGGCACTGAGATTAACAGAAACATTATTGAAATTCTGGAATTGGTTTCGCAGATGATACTGCAATGCTATGGGGGGTTAAATTCTACAATGATTTGCTCATGGAAGCTGGCCCCCTAGGGAATGTCCAGTCAGAGTTACTTTTCCGGAAGGATAAATCAACTTTTACTTTTGAAAAGGGATGGGCATTCCCTCGGCGGATCTATTTCAATGGTGATAACTGTGTCATGCCACCACCTGATGCATATCCATGGTTGCCAAATGCTAGTCCCAGACCAATGGTGTCCTTCCTTGGTCCAGTTGTGGCTTTCTTGGCATCTTTGCTCTTCTTGTTTGCTTGGGCGTAAGTGAAAACGATACAGGGGAGCATTGCAAATTATGGGCCATTTATAATATTTACAACTGGATCAAACTGCCAGAATCTTGTGGTGAAATTTTTGATCTTGCTTTCATTGGGGCCTTGGATTCCAGCATTGTCAGTGGATTCAGGTGCACAACAATCCCTGGTGAAAAATTTTATCTTTTTGTGTAATGTATTGGCTGTTTGAATCAATTTACTGGCATTTTGTTTACATTTTACCTGTTGTATTTTATGTTAATTTATAATTAACCATCTTGTTTGTAGGGTTCCACTTAAAATTGTTATTTTCTCCATTGTAATAAAGACATCTCACAGTGAAATTAGAGATAATATATGGATTTGATCTTTGAGTTAATCAAATTTTTATCTGCCCATGAAATTTTATTTTATTTTTTCATTTGAAAATCCCACTCAAGGAATGAACTGTAATTTAAGGTGGCACATCTTCAGGAGGATGAAGAAAGAAAATCTTCTTTGCACGAGATATGGTACCTCTAATCCCTGTCGGGTTGCATATAAGACTACATTTTGGCCACTACATTAAGAGTCCGGATCTGTTCTACTTGTCATGCCCTTGAATGCAGTCTGCCCAAGTTGAGCGCAAAACAAGCGCAACAGATCCCAACTCTTACATGCTGTAATCAGTTCATTGATGTAAGCTACTGGCTGTGTGATCACCTCTTGTCTTGAATGCATCGGCATGGCACAGCATTAAAATAGACTGCTCTGAGGTTTATTAGTCTTCCAATCTAAAAGCTAAACCATGGAACAGGAGAATCACATAATATTAGATCGAGTTGCGAAACATGGTGATCGAATGGACAGTGATAGCAACCATACCAGACAGATCCTTTATTCTTTGTATCTTGAAAAAATTGATCAGTTTAGGTTCCATCTACAGGAGAATCATATATATTATATCGAGTTGCGAAACATGGTGATCGAATGGACAGTGATAGCAACCATTACCAGACAGAGAAACAGATCTAGATACCGTCCTTTATTCATTGTATCTTGAAAAAAAATTGATCAGTTTAGGTTCCATCTACAGGAGAATCAAATAATATTACATCGAGTTGCGAAACATGGTGATCGAATGGACAGTGATAGCAACCATTACCAGACAGAGAAACAGACCCAGATACCCTCCTTTATTCATTGTATCTTGAAAAAAATTGATCAGTTTAGGTTCCATCTACATAAATTTCGAGGAGGGGTGGAAAAGTTTTCAGTTTTCCCCATAAAATGGGCAACAATAACTACTGAAACTATTTTGGTAGAAGAATTTTTTGCTCCTTGTGCATTGAAACAAACAACCCTTGCGTACCAATGCAGTATGGGCACCATTCTTTTAGAGGAGCTTGTTTTAATTTTTTTTTTTCATGAATATCTTAACAGAAAATGTTTCACTTAACTGAGATACACCCAGCTCGTCCATTTTAGTTTAAAAAGAATAGAATTTGATGTTTTGTTTGTATATATACCTGTCCCTCCAGTTGTGTCAAAGATGGCCACTCATTCAAGACTAAACTACTTCTATGCCTTCAAAACTCCTGAGAACCGACTCATTTCTCTAGGAAACCCATCACCAGACAGTCATTAAGAGGAAGAGCATAGAAACAATTAATGTCGAGAATGCAAGTGGATTCGCATGGGCAGAATTTGGTAGGAATGGGTATGTATCTGGTGGGGGTAGCATGCACTCGTCACCATTAAAGTAGACTTTCCGAGGAAATGCCCATCCTTGCTTCAGGGTGAACGTCTCCTTGTTTTTCTGAAGCAGAACCTCTGACTGGACATTGCCAAATGGACCGGCCTCCATTAGTAGGTCGTTGTAGAATTTCATGCCGTAAAACATGCCAGTATCATCTGTGTGTACACAATTAACAACAGCAAACGATTAGTAATTTTGCATTAATTGCTCAGTAGTTTGACACAAAAACAACAGAAAATCATAGTTTTGACACTAGTACAAATGTAAAGCATGGGAATGCAAATGACTGAGGCCCCGTTTCGTTGACGGGAATAGGGGTCTGGAATTGGAATCAGAATGGGCGGAGCCGGAATCCCATTCCCATTCCTGCTGGAATGGCATTCACCCATTTGAGGGAATAACCATTCGCTGCCCCTCCTTTGGGAATGAAATCCCATTCCTGCTGATTGTCATTCCCATTCCCATTCCTGTCTGAATGGACCATTCCGATTCCAATTTGGAAGGATTTCAATTCCAACTGCGAACTGAACGGACCCTGTAAAAAAAAGTTGTGTTTCTATAGAGAACCCTTCCAGAGGCAGTGAATGTGTGCAAACATGGATATATAAGCAGCCATCATGCATGAAGGTGTAATCACACATAGTTTGGAGTTTATTTGCACTCACTTATGGATTCATAAGGAACGAGAGGCTTGTAGTCGAAACTAAAAACTTGGGTAACATTGTCAAGATTTGGGTGCTGAACAACAAGTGTCCACTGTGTATAGTTCATTCTGTAGTTAAAATTGGTGATGGAAACCTTGACACGCCAATAGTCCTTGTAGTTGAGCTTCACATGCCAGTGCACTCGAATCGGGCACATGTGGTGAGTGCATTGCAACAGTGGTGTGCTGTCTTTCTTTGGTGTATTGATTCCCACCACGCTTAGCAGCTTTGAATCACTTCTGTAATAACACTCGCAATTGTACAAGGTTAGCACAGGGAGATAAGGAGACAGTGATCTGACTTGTGATCACACATATAGTGAGCATCTAAGTTTCTGTTCCTCGGTCTATATTTATGGAGGTAAGAGTTGGAGAATTACTTGATACAGTTGTTCTTGTTCTGGCAACCACAGGCACAGGAGGGACAAGGAGTGATGGTGTCATTGTAGAAAGATGAGAAGGAGACGCAACAGTTCGGGTTCTTCCGCGCCAGAAACTGTGAATAAGTGCAGGTCACATTCCATGTCACTGGCAAACAACAACAAAGTGAACATTTGATGAATTTTCTGTTCTTCTCAAAAGTAAAATTAGGAGCTAATCAAGAGGTCTGTTAGTCACACGAGAAGGGTGATCGTCAAATTTGGACTTACTCAGTGACTGAGTTTTTCGCCGGCGGTCAGGGGTGAGGAAGGTTGTGGAGGGCACAATCTTTGCTGGGCCACAAGTGTAACCTGGTCCTGGACCTAGCAAAGTGAAGTTCTTGGGAAGTTTTACTGTCTTGTTTGTGGTACCAGCGAGCCCAACACTCACCTGGAAAGCTGAGACTGAGGCTGCAGGGTCTTGTCCCCAAGCTGTCACCACACCGCCTTTGCAGCAATTAGTAAATTGTTGATTGTAAGGGACTCCAGGGAGCAAATCCACCACTGTGGGAGTCTTCTTGCAACAATGTGGAATATTTCCTTTGAACTTGGAACAGTCTCCTTGCTCGGTAGTTTGGGCTCCCACCATGGACCATATGACTTCTTTTTTCGCCCAAGTCCAGCCCAAAGTCCAGCCTGGGCTCATAATGTGCCGGTACAACTGGAAGTTGTTGATTGTCACCACTGCCTGGAAAATAAAATCAAAATGGAATTAGCTTGATGATATTGATCAATAACTTCTGATGCTCAATTTCACCTGTGTTTTGGATTGTTTTCTCTTTTATTCCTTTTCTTTGTAAGATAAACAGATATTTTTTAATTTCCTCAACACTCCATAATTATGTAAGAATACATTATACATTAAATCCACAAATCAAATAATAATAATAATAATTAAGTATTACTAAAATTGTAGTAAAAAAAATGCTCCAACAGTCTATTTTGAAGGCATTAAGCATTCCATATTTTAGCCTAAGTTGGTTTTATAACTGGTTGGATCTGGCAATGAAACTACCAAGGCAGGACAGGGAAGTAGTGATGGATAATGATACTCACCACATAGCCATCTGGGGTCCAAGACATTACATCCCATTTAATTGTTATGTTCCCATTTGGATCAAGTGGATCGTATGCAGCTACATTCAAGAAAGAAAAGGGAAGGAAAGATAAATAAACAGATGGAAAACAAGATCAAATTGTTAATTTCAAATTTCACTGCCCAAAACATACCAGCATTAGAGAAGATCATGACAAAGAAGAAAGATAATATTGTAAATTTAAATTCGGCAAGAATGCGGCCTTGACATTGCCTGTAACTATCTTTGGCTTTGATTCTCATAGCATTTTCATGAAATGGGCCTGTGGGCTTGTTGAATCCCATACTGAAATTCTGAATTCTCTCTGATCACAAATTGGCCTGAACCTGAAGTTCAATGGGACCTCAGAAGCAAGAGGGTCTCTGGTGATGCTTTTAAGCACACTGTGTACCAGCCTACCAGGAGAGGAGAGTGTCAAAAGGGTTTGTCTATATTTAAAGGAAAGAAAGAACTCAACTCTAAGAATTGACCAGAGAGATGGCTTACCTACTGGTAGGTAAGCACTGGTGATAGTTTTCTTTTATTTTTCTCTCTTTTTATTTTAGTTCCCATGCCCAAGTCTTGAAGCAACGTATTTGGTTGGTAAGAGAAGGGCATGTGCTGTAAATTTTGACACATTTGAACATAACAGCCCAACGGTCGTCTGGGAATGGGAGAAGTTTAATGACCAAACTGCCCTTCTATTTTTATATTACTTTGAATTCTGTTTGTTTTTTTACTTTTTATTTTTTGGGAGCGGGGGTTTAATAATAGACTACTGACTGGAAGATGAGGCATTGCTGGCAAATGGCAATCAAGAAAGGTCTTATAAACGTATTTAATTTGCTTCTGTAACTTGTAAGAATCACACACCACTTGATAGATTGCTTTTTGTTACAAGTTTAGGGGTGTTGTGAACATATATGAGAATATATGGGCATTTTAGTCATGCTAAGATAAAGGGAAGCTTCCCTGAAAATATAACTAAGCTTTTCTTTCATGGGTTTGCCATTTCAATCTCAAAGTTTTCAGTTAGAAGGAAGAGTTTTGAGGGTAAATGGGCAGTTGGGGCAGGTAGTCACTCCCCCTCTGATGAGGATCTCTCAACTGCATGAAGAGAGACCTGAATGCTTCAAAAGCAAATTGAACCACTCTGTCTCTACCAATCCCACTCAATAAAACAAAATAAAAGAAAACTTTTTATGTTTTTGATGAGAAAGACAATAAACTCAATATTTGTCAATTTTCCCATAAAGAGAAAAAAGAACTCTCAATATGTATGGTTTTTCCTTTATTCAGAAAAGAAAAATATTCACAGGGAACTCTGGTTCCTTGTTATAGGTATCAATGGAACATGTCTAACTGAAGATGACTGCCACCGACAGATGTGAATGGTCTAACTAACAAGTCGTCACACTATGACTATAAAACCTCTTGAGTTGCTTCTGAATTTTAAATTAGTGGGATGATGCAGGATGATTCAAATTAAATCACATGGAAGTTCAAAGTTATTGTTCCACAGAATTAAATGTTTATTGATTTAAATCTAGTTTAAGCTACTAGTAGTGAATGATAAAATATAAATCATGGGTGATGATCCAATTCAGTATGAAAATCACAGCATTCACATCATCAATTGATGCAACATCAACACTTTCCAATTCCATGAGAGTCGAAATGTGGCATATTTTCCACCTGCTGGACCTAATTTGGAATTTTGGATGCTGGCTTGGTGCAACTTGAGAGTGATGGTCCATCTATAGAATAATCCATTAAGTAGATCTTCATTTGGGTATGTGCATCAACTCTGGAATTCGGTCTTGTGAAACGTGCACTGATCATATTGAACCCTTTAAGATACATTTGGGAGGACATACTTGCCATGACCATTTGGAACTGTTTAAGAATCGTTGTTGACCAGAACCGGGTGATTGGAGAACCCAGACGTCTGATCAGTTCCTGGATTGCTGTTTCAATGGCGAACCATCCGGTTGAACTGCCACGCCTGCCATCTGGCCAGCTTATATTAGGTTTCGTTTTTAAACCGCTGCTACTTAGGTGCTGACCCATATAATCAGAGTTCGGCTTCTATAGGGAAAGTCGGTGCTCACACCTTTTGAACAGCCCCTTGCAACCTTGCATTGGGAATATCTCCTATAAAATAAAATACACTAGTATGGAGACATTCCTAACGTAACGCAAGGCTGTAAAAGCTGTTGGAACGGGCGGACTCATATAATCAGGACAAAGGCTTACATAATATAATGATGATGATTAAAGAATAAAGATTAATAATGCTAATATCAACCATATTGGCAGGCTTGGTTAGGATTCTAGCCCATTATCAATTTAACAAAATTTCAACCTAACCAGACTTAAGGATCTGCTTGCTTTACAGTCAGAATTAGAATCGAAATTGGAATCAAAATATTTTGGAATCAGAAGCAGAATGATTTATTTCCATTGTCTATTTGGTTCAAACAGATATTGAAATGAGAATTACAATAAGTTGGAATGGGATTTCAGTTCCAAGGAGGGGAAGGGTATGACCACTCCCTCAAATGGGAAAATGCCATTCCACTAAAAATAACAATGGGATTCTGATTCCATCCAACCAACCAAATAATTGAAATTGGAATAGCCCATTCTTATTCCAATTCTTGATCCCTATTCCTGCGAATCAAACAGTCCTTATGTTACACCAGTGAGGATAAGGGCTAAACAGCACTCATAACTTGTGATGCGGTGTGATCCGGTCACTCCTAACTGGCACTCACGTGGCTCCTGGAAGGTACCTGAGATGAGGAAGAAGAAGAATCCCCGGGGGGTTTACCCGATGGGGATACTCCAATGCTTAAGTTAGTACTATGAAGGAGAAGCAAGAAGGAGATGAAGGCTAAGAGTGCAGATAGTGCGTTCCTACTATACTTGAGAGATCAGAGGTCTCAAGAAAAGTTTCTCTTCTGCCCTGAGGGCTTTTATAGGGACACTCACATCAGGTCAATGCAGGTGGCCATTGTGGCGTACGTCTCGCCCGGGTGAGTGACACATTTCCAAAGTGGCAGGCACACCTTTGCTTGCTAAGAGACGTGGACGCAGACTGTCGAAAGGACTGGGACTGCGCCGTCAGTAAGGGATATGGCGCAGTCTGACTGGTACGGTCAGTCAGTCAGAAGCTTCCTGGAGAGTGCTCGTGCGGCTCATTCGTGAGCTGTTTTGTAGCAAGCTTGGAACACTCCAGGATTACCCTTAGTGGAATTGGTCATCGGAATGACTTGTCTGCTTGGGAGCTCGGACGAGCTAATAACTTTAGCTCGCGAGGTAAGGTTGCCTCGGAGTATCTCTTCAAAGGTAGCTCGGCGAGCCTGGGGTTCGCTTGGCGGCGAAATCCTTTCGCGAGCTACAACGTAGCGAGCTGCTTTGCAGGCCCGTCACTTGGTCGTACCAGGTTACAACGCTGAGCTGTCGCTCGTGCTGATTCAGTGTCCATGTGTCATCGTTTCATAGGTGGGGTCAAATCACCCTCCATCAATTGCCCCCCACTCCTTGGGCTAAGAGCACTGCCTTAGCGCAGGGAGTTTGTGAAGCGCGACGGGCTGATTTGACCGAAATTCAAACTTGATTGATTGCCCACATTAATGCATTTGCGGGAATCAAGAGATTTTCTGACTTTCCTGACTCTTCGGATTCCAAAAACGTGCTGAAGTGGCTTTTACCTTCGAACGTCGTGCGGCTGCGATTACCTTAATTATGGAAGACGTGCCGCCAATCACCTTCGGTTTTCAGAAGGCGTGCGGTCAGGGCGCCCGTGAGCCGTTGGATCTGCTTTGATCCAGGCCATCAATTTGAAAGGGTGGGGACTATAAATAGGGGGGCCTCTCGGGCCTCATTTTCTCCCACGCCATCTTGTTGTCTTCGGATTCTGAGGTCGCGCACTTCATCTAGTCTACCCGAATTCCTCAATTTGCTTCGTTTCGTCTCTTCTGGTGAGTCCCAATCGCTGTCAGCCATGCATGGGTACCCATACCGCACCTACCATAGGACCAGGACGATGATGCTCCCTCGAGCTCGGGGGGAGCCTGGGAGCAGATCCCGGAGGCTCGGGAGGCCTCCGGCGATGTAGCGTCTACTTCTAGGGGGAGGGAGCCCAACACTTTCGGCCCTTCCTCCATGACAGCGGAGAGACTCAGGTCTCTAATCCGCTACTTTTGCCTCCCTGGGGACCTGGTCTACAGCCTCCCTACTGGAAACTTCCCTTGGGAGCATGGTCCCAATGACATAGTAATCTTCTAGGAACAGCTCGAGGCTGGCTTGCGTCTCCCCCTGCACCCCTTGATAGTAGAGGTGCTAAATCACTTTAACGTCACCATTAACCAGCTTCATCCCAACGCCATTCGAAATATGGTCGGGACTATATCTTTGTGTTACGAGTACTGTCTTCCTTTGGACCTTGATATTTTTGCCTCTATCCTCTGTATAAAAAATGTTGCTTCTGGGGTTCCTCCGGAGAGGCGCTTTTACTACCTCTCTCCCCGTCCCGGCTATAAGCTCTTGTACGAGCTACCGAACAAGATTCCCGCCTGGAAGTGGGATTATTTTGTGGTTTGCAACCCTGAGGGGTGGCCCTTCCCCACCGCTTGGAGGGGCGCCATTCAGGACCCCGGGGCAGAGCTGGACCCTGAAACTCGGAAAACAATGCTATCCTGGGCATCGGTAGGCTTCCTTTACTCGGACTACTTGATCGAGGAGAAGCTCGTGTAGCCAGCTTGAGCCCGGGTAGGTTGTCTTTTTAGGTTGTGTGGTTTCTGTAACGATGTTGTACTCACATTCGCATACATATATTTCATTCTTGCTGGACTAATATTGATGCTCTTCTTGGTAGCCATCATGTCTAGTGCCGGTTCGCGCTGCCTTCTCTCGAGCAGCCAAAGGCGCCATGCGAAGAGGACACGCCCCGACCAGACTCCCCCCTCAGGAGGTGCTGAGTTCGGGTCTGCTGAGCCGGTTTTATCCTCCCCTCCGCCTGAGATTCTGGCACCCCCTCCCGAGGGAACTAGCGGGGTTGACTTCGGAGGGGATGAGCTCCCTCATCAAGGGGAGGCTCCCTGTAACCCCCTCCAGCCACGCCCTTACCCCCGGTTCCTAGTAGGGAAATGGGAAGGGGTGAACGATTACCTCGTGGCTTGCCGGAGGAGCCGGAAGGCGATCACTAATGATGAGGTCGCTCAGTGGGGGAATATGGAGCCCGGAGACCTCGTCGCGTTCGCCTCTGCTTACTGCATGGTGGTAAGTAATCTCTCTCTCTTTTCCTCTCTTGTTTTGCTCCTCTTCGTTGTCCTCTGATCTTCTCTTCTGTCAACAGGTGAATTCCGCCATCCATGCCATGGCCCTCCAGACGCGCGTCCATCACG